ACTATGGCACTGTGCAATTGTGGAAATGCTGAAATGCTGGATTGTAACTGAAAACTGTGCTAACACAAAGTAAATACTCCAAACGGAAATGAAATGCGGTCAGTGCGGTTCAAAATGTAAAAATGTATTTGAAAATCCCATGAAGCATTTTGAGTAAAAAAAGGTACACGGCAGCTAAGTAGTGAAAGAAAAAATTCAGTTTTGGTTTTTTTTTCGTTATCGAATTTGCTGAATCAAAAGTTTATAAAAAGGATTTAAGTAAACATTAATTTAACATTATTCACATAAGTCAGTTTTAATTAGCAAAAAAGGTTTTCGTTTGTGAAACCAAGCCAACAGACTTTATACGCTCACATTGCTGCTTAAGCAAGCTGAAGTAGTTTTCGTACTTTATTTTTTAATATTTTTGGAAATTTCTAAAAGAATTACTTCAAAGTTTTAACTTACCTTATTACTTAGCTTATAAAGTTGTTTTTGAAATATGAGAAAATAATGTGTTCAAGCACAGTTTAGCAAGGAGTTAAGTACGTGAGTAAAAACTCTTCAGGATAGTAGAGTAACAAGATAGATTCTGTAAAGATAAGAAGAAGTTTTATATATTATATTAAATGTGTTATTAGTTTGTGTTTCTATAGTAAATAAAAATAATAAATTTGTCTTAAGAAACAGATTTTAATAGCTTTGTATACAAAAATTGAAATTAAAAAATTTAAAAGAAAGCAAAGTGAAACAAATTTATTTTAAAAATCGTAAAGTTTTAAATTGAAACTTTTTTTGATAAAAAAGTTTTTCAAAAAATAGTGAACTACAGCAACAAAAATTGATTTTTATATTATTTTAATTAACTGAATTTTTAGCTGACCATACAGCTCTTTTAAATACTGCCAAATACCCATCATCAGTGGTCTTAGAAATAATTCTTGTATTTAATTATTTGTAAATAATTTTTTGATACTGCAAGTACTAGGATATCATTATAATATTCTGCACACGCAAAGTTGACAACGAATTTTAGTTGAATCCAAGCTATATATGGGCATAGTTTTATTCTCAAGCTAACTATACCTTAGGTTATTCACTTCATACATTGATTATATTAACAAAAACTACACACGCTATCTATTAACAATAAGTATAAAGAATTTTAACATTGATTACATATTCAATTGTGAAAAACTTCAAAATTTTTTAACTAGTTTTTATCGCAAAAGACAAAAGATAATGTCTAATATTGCCAGAGCAATGTAGCAATATTATGATAAGTAATATAATAAAAAGAGGCATACTGAAATAAAACAGAAGCTCTGAAGTCTTTTGATCCTAAACAAACCAACCAAATTTGTCAATCGTTTCGTTAATAACAGAAAAATAAAAAATAAATAAAAATTGATGATAACTGCCCTGTAATAAATAAAATTATAGCTAAGTGTCCAAATGATCTTCCGTAGCTCCGATTTCATATTGCTGCCTTTTCCATTATAGATGGAAACACTTTAATTTTGTTTGCTAATCATACCTACAACATCCAGCATAATAAAAGCGTGGAGTTCATAACAAATAGTTTACAAATACACAAAACTGAGATTCAAGAGACAAGTTCTATACTAAACTTACTAAAAAGTAATAAAAAAATTAAAATCAATTCAAAGAGAATTGAAGTTATATTAATTACCTGAAAAAAAATCACTATGCAGGACATCCTCTTTATCAAGTGGAAACCCAAAGTGAAATGTACTGTATGTACTATCAACTTTCAACTTAAGATTTTTAAGAAATAGACATAATAAGAAAGAGATGCATGCTGTTTAAAAATCTGAACCTTAAGGCTTACATATAGTTTCAAGTGATACTAGCGGAATTTCTATGAATTTCAGTGATGGCATTTATCGCCACATTATATTGGTACGTGTCTTCAGGCATCATGGTAGGTAATCATTTTAAAAAAATAAGGACTATATAATTAACTCAACGAATATGCAGCAATATGTGTAATTTTTCCTACATAATCCATATAAAAATATTTAAAAAATTTGATGAGTGTAAACATAGCGTAAGAGAATAAAAGTGGATTAAACACTATTATTAAACACTATTAAATGAAAGCACAAGAAGACAAGACAACAATACGTCTATTTAGGGGTTTCATGTCAAAATTTTCACTTTTGTAGCCCAATGTCTTGAGAATTAGGTTATATTGAACAGAATGCGTAGTAGGAAAGCTGTATAAAATAGCTGTCTTTACTGATATATAAGTTATTGCCCAGGAAATCGGTTTCGTACTTACTTTTAGCATTTATGTTGCATTTATATTAACTTATTTGACATTCGTATACATTGCTATTTCTTCTACATATTTTAGCTAATTATATATAGCTATTTAGATACTTTGTCTAAATAAAATACTCTTCTGGTTGATAATATTGACAAATCAGAAAAGTATGCAAATTTTTTAAAAAATTTTTCAGAAACAGAAATTATTATATATAATACAGTATAAGGCATTTCAGAAAAAATTAATGTTTTTAATGAGGTGGTGATTCAATTTGAGAAATACAAAAAATAGTATTGCAGTTAGTACTTATCATAAATAGAAAAGAATTTTATTACTAAAAAATTTATTGTTATAAAAAATTTTTATTAAAAATTATGAAATCAAATATGATTATTCTCATTCAGTATAATTTTAATCAAAAATTATTGTATATATCTCAACAAATTATAATTTGTTAATTCATTTTCTACACTAATTAACGCTTTTTATTTAATTGAAACAATTTATTAAGAAATGTTATCAGTTGTGTGTATACCCCATGTTAGCAATTAAGTGACATCATAAACTGAAATTAATGAAAAAGGAAATGTTAAATAAAAAAAGAAAAAAAAACTCTTAATTTTTCTTTTCTTAAAAAATTTTTTTTACTATCAAGGATTTGTCATTATTAAAACCTCGACAATATTTTATCTCTTCTAGCAATCTTAGAAAGTTTTGTTTTTCTTTTATGCCATCACTTTTCATTGTCAGTAATCTAATATGTACTTTAAACATTAAAGGAAACAACAACCGCACTTCCGGCTATTTAGGTCTGTCAGAAACCCCAAAAATACAATATGCCACACACTAACACATTCACAAATTCCTTCATTTCTAGATTAACTTACTAATTCTAGTTTTTTCTACACTGTTTTTGAAAGTTTTTATGGCTATTCTCTGCCTCCTTTTATCAGCCTATTTGTACTTCCTTTATTTGTTAAGTTCCTTTTGTGTTTCTTTAGTTACAGTGCTTTTTCTTTCTTCCTTTTTTTTCATTTTTTTTTACTCTCATTTTTTATCTTCTATGTTCTGTGTTCTGTGGTTTTGTGTCTGATATTGCCTGCTTCATATAAACTCAGTGTTTTTGTTCTTATTTGTTGTGGCAGTTAAAAATGTTGTTGTCGTTGTATTGTGTCCTTTAGTTGTGCTTCAAAGGACATGGTTTCTAAACACAAATCGCAAAACAAGCGTGCCTGAATGTCACGGTCTTTTGGATTGCCATTGTTGTTACGTATAATGCCACTCATTCAGTTGCATTGCATACTATACTAAAGTATAGTATGTGCTTCTAAAAGCACTCAAACTATAAAATTATGCTAAACGAGCTTCAAGTAGACGTTGGAGACCAAATTCAATTATTTGTACATTTTAAAGGAAAAACTCAATAAACTAAATAAAATTTATTTTTATTCAGCTGTGTTAAGAGTAAGGCTTGATTCAATTAATGTTGGAAAAAATCGTAGTTTGCGGTGCATAAGCACTTTAGATATATGTTGTATAGCAAAAACTCTATAAAAAGCATTTCAAATTATATTTATAGTAATAATGACATAAAAGAGTTACAGGAAAGTTACTGATCTGATAAAATTCATTACTTTAACTCCTGGTTTTTAATTGATATTATTCTATGCTGAGAATAGAGAATAGAGTATTCTATTTGTCCAAATGGATCGAGAAATACTTTTAAGTAAGATATAAAAAACTACATGCGAACTCAAACTGATAAGCCACTACTTAGTACTAAAGGTAGGGATTTTATTACCAAACTTTAGCGAATAAATAGTGACCTATTTACATAAATCCTGTCATGTTATTTAACTGAAATGTCCAAAATACAGTGTTAAAAGAATAAATTTATGTAAGTGTGTTTCTACATTGTTTGTTATTATGAGAATGTTATTATAAGAAAATCTAAAGAAGTAGAAGAAGAAGAAAGAAGAAGAAAGAAATAGAAGAAAAAAGACTGCTTTAAACAATAGAAATATTAAAAAAAAAAACATGGCACCTAGATATACCTTCGCCCCACTACATGATATATAATTCTCGAATAAAACTATGCTTTAGTATAAAGTTACTAAATGTTATAAATTTTAAACAAAGAAAATACTTAGCTAACTTCGGATGATTGCGTAAACTTGTAATATTTCTTAAATTGGAATTGAATTTCATAAGATCAGTTTTATGCCACCTATTACCGGAATCCGTTTAATGCAATAGAGGACACATCTTTCAGACTAATGTTATTTAAAAATGATGGGGTTCTGTCAAACAACCATGCATTGTATTTAATTAATATACTATAAGCAAGGAAATAAGAGATCGATAATCCCGAGATATTGTTGATTCAGTATTTTTCTAGAGTGCAAATATAAAAACAAGCAAAGAAGCTTTCTCGTACAATCCCATCGCTCCAATGTATAATCACAATTAAGTGCTATTCTTAAACTTAATAAGAAAAATAATACAAATTAATTGCATTATTTCTAAATAATACTTATTTATATATCACATCTCTTATATATATATGCTATATATTCTCTTCTACATCTCTTCTGTTTGATGTTTACCAAGTATTTAGACCTGTACATTGACAGATTTATAGAGATTTTAACATATGTGAAACAATATTGAAATATTTTAATAACCTTTTATTCAAAATAGTAAAAAACAAAAATTTTTATTATTACTTTGTTACACTCAATATACAAATATGTTAATAGTTAAAATAACTCTTAGAATTCAAAAAATAAATATCATGGAATTAATAGATTAATGATTTATCAGGATATATTTATCAAAATCAAAACTTTGGGAAAAAGTATAATTGTTTATAATAAAATAAAATATTTCATTATCTTTTGTGTCCTGGTCAATACATAAACAAAGAATAGTTATCACATTTTATGCAATACGAAGCATAATATCTTAATTTTAATCACCTTAGTCCAAATAGCAGAAATATGAACATTTAAAAAATAAATTTGTATTTCTAGCTATAATACAGTTTACTGTTATTTTTTATTAATATTAGTTGGCAATTATACAGTACACTTACGCTGCATAATCGGGTATTAGACCCAAATATTTTACAGTATTATGTCGAATGATTCATGTCGACAGTTATTTTTTCTTGTAACTGCTGAGAATTTTCAAGTCATTCAAATATTACTATCAACCCGCTAATAATATGCTGATCGTTTCGCTATTATATATTACGATCTTTTAAATAGAGTATATAGACCAGAGAGAAATGAGAAAGAACCAAAATAAATATTTGTAATATGTAAAAAACAACGATCTTGTCCTAAATTTACTGTAACAACTTATCTCTGAGATAATATAGCAAATAATTAACTCAAAAGAATCATGAAAACATTGCAAGACTTGCTCTTTCCTAGGAAATCGTCTCTAGCATTATAATGATTCATTATAATACATTATAATTGTGTATTCATTTAGATAAATCAAATGAAATAAAATGTGTTTTTCAACAACATATATCGCTACTTTTTGATGCTGTTAACTGACACTTTTACTAATATATGAAACCTTTTTAAGGGTTCTTAATATGGTAATATTATATTACTAATATTACTAATATATATATGTTGTATATAATTAGTTATATATACATATGTGTGTGTATATGTATATGTATATATTGTATATAATATATCTATAGCTGTTCTAGAAAGAAACTGATATAAATTAAGTATGAAGGTAAT